GGAGTCAGTCCCAGGAGCACTAGGCTGTGTTCCCAGGACTGCAAAGCACTCTATGACTCAGAGCACTGCGTTCTGTGAAGGGACCTGGCATGCGCAGCAACTCCAGGCAATAAAGAAGACAAAAAAGCTTTTGTTTCTTTTCAACTGTCTAAAACATCAAACTTTGAATTCTTCTTTGAGACATTTATTTTCTAGCCTTTGAAAAGTCAAGTTAAGTTTGAAATTAATTTTCTTAAGAAGCATTTGCACATTTTAAAAACAGAAAAACACTGGTCACAATGACAAGTAATGGTGCTGTTGTGTACAGCAGCCTGTGCCCTGAACAAACTGCATAAAGAAATAGAATAGGCTGAGTGGCTGTAGCCGACGCCTTTAATCCCAGCATTTTGGAAACGGAGGCAAGCAGATCTCAGTGAGTTTGAGGTCAACCTGGTCTCAATGAGTTCCAGAACAGTCAGAGATACACAGAGAAACCCTATCTCAAAAAACAAACAAACAAACAAACAAGAATTAGCCAGACTCATCAAAATAGACACTGCCAAAGCTGAACATGCTGCTATACCAGCATGGAGAGACTGAGGTAGGAGCATTAGTACAAAAACTATCCTGGGCTACACAGCAACACCTTGTCCCTGTCACAAAACAAAACAGACAAACAAGTCACCTATACTGGGGACCAGAGAGGTAGCTCAGCAGTGAAGAGTACACAATGCTCTTCCAGTGTGGAACCTGAGTTCAGTTCTCAGCATCTATGTCATGCAGCTAAAAATATGTAACTCCAACACCGGGGATATGATGCCCCTTCTGGCCTGTTCAGATACCACGCACACACGCATGCACACACGCAGGAGAAGCAAGTTCTTACTTGAAATTTGCCCCTTTGATAATATTTATGTGTGCTCTTTGAATCAATGTTCACAACAGTCATTCTCAGACATGAACAGAGTCCTGAGAACCCCCAGTACAGGGGGTGGAGGTAGAGCCCGCCAAAGTGCTGCTTTTGATTTTAGCTATTGTCTTAACAAGAATTGAGGTCGAAGTCAATTTAGAACCATGCTGTTTGCATGTTTATGATTTTTGTGTTGACTTAGTGGTTTTAAGGGTTCCCATGTGTGGTATTGAAGCACAACCAGTTTCTAAGTGCAAGAAGGCACTTCCTAAGAGAGCATACGTGTTAGCCAAACTTTGTCCCCCATTAGCTGTTGGCTGTGAGTTCGTGACTAATGAATCAACAGTGTGTCTGTTTTGGTTGCTTTTTTCATTGCTATCACAAAACATTGAACAAGAGTAACTTCCAGAAGGAGGAGGTTTTACTTTGTCTCACAGTTTAAGGGTGCAATCCATCATGGTGGGGAAAGTAAGTAGCAGGGGTGTGAAGCAGTTGGCCACGTAGGGACCACAATCATGAAGCAGAAATCTCTCTCTCCTTTCCACTCTTCTGCGACCCCAGCCCTCAACTGATGCCACCCACCTTCAGAGTAGATTTCCTCTGCTCTATGAAGCTTTATGGACATACTGCCATGGACATACCCGGAGTTTGTTTCCATGGTGATCTGAAATCCCATCAAGTTGATAATCAATATTATTCATCAGACAGATGTACATCACATGTATGTGTTTATGTGTGTGTATACATTGTTTTATTAAAGTGGTTTTATGTATATGTTCTTTTACCCTACCTTTCTCCTGTCTCCTGTGTGTGTGTGTGTGTGTGTGTGTGTGTGTGTGTGTATTCAAAGAAAGAGTCTCATTATGCAGCCATGATTGTCCTGGAAATCACTCTGTAGACCAGGCTGGCCTTGAACTCAACGAGATCTGCCTGCCTCTGCCTTCTGAGTGCTGGGATTAAAGGTATGAGCCACCATGCCCTACTCTCATCAATAAGCTTATAACCCTACCAATCTAGCTATACAATATTCTAATGTGGCTGGGCAGTGGTGGTGAATGCCTTTAATCCCAGCACTCGGGAGGCAGAGGCAGATAAATCTCTGTGAATTCGAGACTAGCCTGGTCTACAAGAGCTAGTTCTAGGACAGGCTCCAAAGCAATGCAGAAGGTCTTGAAAAACAAACAAACAAATAAAAAAACCAATATTCTAAGGTGTTCATGGATCATACCTGACTGGCATACCACAACTAATGAGATGCATCCCCACCAATGTGTATTGGTGTGTGTCTGTGTGTGTGTGTCTGTGCACCACTTTGTATACCTGGTGTCTGAGGACAGGAGAGGCATTGGCTCCTCTGCACCCAGAGTTACAGACAGTTGCGAACCACCATGTAGGTGCTGGAAATTGAACCTGGGTCCTCTGCAAGAGCAGCACCCATGCTCTTAACCATTGAGCCATCTTTCTAGACTGTGACGTGTCCCTTTTGTCCCTGGATTTGTCCCCTGCAGTAACACTGACATAACTTTCTTCATGTGTGTATGGGGTTTGTATTTATAGAACGATGATCCATGAGTGGGGCTAGGGGTGCTGAATCAAAGAGCAAATCAATTTTGTGTTTTAACAGAAGCCGCTGTAATGCTTACAAAAAAGATGCTGCAGTTGCCATTTCCATTAGTGACATCTGAAACATATTTTCTCTGTGCCCTTTGGTTTAGATTCTCACACTTAGCTATTGGCCACTAGCAACCTTTTGCTGCTATTTGAAGATGTACTTTTCTGACCTTCGGGCTGGAAGCATCTTCCCTGTTGATGGTTTATGTTGCTTTCTCTAAGATCAATCTTTTCACATCCTTTGCCATTTTTTTCTGTCAGATTGCTAGTCTTTTTCTCATAAAAGTTTAAGAGCTCCTGGTAGAATATATATATATATATATATATATATATATATATATATATCAGACTTACAATGTTTTTAAATCTAGCTTTGCCTGATGACTTTAGTAAATGGATGTCATCTGTGCAAAGCTTCTAAAACTTCACATAATCAAAATGTCTGTCTGCTCTGGCTTGGTGTGGGAGACCGTGGAAGAGGAGGGCGAGAGAATGAGGGCCAATCAGCAAGCAGATCCCATGTCTGTCTCGAGCAATGGTCCCCTGGTCAGTCTGGAGGTGGCATGGGACTAAGATGAGTGGTTGGAGAGGCATCTGGGAGGCAGCACTGACAGGGCCAGGGGAATGACAAGGTACCTTGTCCCCAGGGGGTCCGTGATGTCATTTCCTGCCAAAGGGAAGGGTGCTGGAGCTAGGCTGGATGTTGGTGCTCTGCGTTGGGGGAAGTGCAGTGCACGTGTAAGAGGCTGTAAACACACAGTGTAGGTGTCTGGAGGCTACTTGGTAAGAGGTGTGGGTTCGAGAGAAAGGTGACTCAAGCAGAGCATATTAGGACCACAACCTAGGGAGGCCATCTAAAGTGGGAGAGGAAGACCTGTGTATGCCATTAGAAGTTGGATGGAGAGAAGCAAAGATGACCAAAAGTGGTCTGAGGCATAGACCAGGAGCGGATGACTCAGTAACTGTTTAAGTGACAACACACAGGGCTAAAGCTGGACAATACATGGGTAACTGATTCAGAGCACTAGCTCTGCAATTGCCAGGATCAGCGTTCAGATCCAGTGTCTCGGTAACCAGCTGGCCAGTCTGTATCCTACAAAGGCCTGCAACCCCAGCTTCTAGGAGGACACGGAATGGTTGCGGGGCTGGTTGATTTCCAGCCCAGCCCAGAGGGAGTTCCAAGTTTAGGGAGAGACCCTGCTTCAAAAGGAATACGTACCTGCACATACACACACACACAGACACATGCACACGGGTAAATACATCTGAGGGAGGCAGAGAGAACAATGGAAATGTAGATGAACGAAAGGCACTAATGATAAGACTCAGAAAACGGGAAAAAGTTCAAGACGATTCAGATGCAAAAAGGACTGAATACACACACACACACAGACAGAGAGAGAGAGATAGAGACAGAGAGAGATAGAGAGTTTATGTATTTATTTTTAATTAAAAATTTCACCCACATGGTGGCTCTTCAGGCCACACCGATACACATGCAAGCAAAACACCGGTACACATAAGATAAGAGGTAACTCAAGGACAGCCCGGTCTATGTAGTGAGTTCCAGGTTGGATGGGATACGTAGTGAAACCTTCTGTCAACAACGACAAAAGGTCCTTACAACAGCCCCATTTCGATAGTTCATCTTATAAGGATTCGTGACATAAGTACAACTCAGTTTTTAACTTTTTCATTTTGCAAATATGATCGCCGTATTTTCAACTTTGCAGTTAATGAATGAGAATCCCTCAATGTCAGTCACAAATCCCTCTGACAGGTTTCACCTGGGTCCTGAGGTTGCAGCTGACTGCTGTTTTTATTTATTTAATCTGAGACTTGTGTGGCACCTGCTAGGGGAAGGCTAATGCATCTTACAGAATTTGGAGGCCAGGATTTCTTTGAGTTTGTTCTAAAAAATGAATGAATGATGCAAGTATAAAAATTTTATTCTCACGTTCTCTGTGGCCTGTAGGTTTAAGCAGCTTTGACGCTTAATTTTTACTATGGATATGACACAACCAAGAATCAGCTGGGAAGGGAGGGGTCTCAGTAAGGAATTGTCTGGGCTGTGTTGGCCTGTGGGAGCACCTGTAAGGGATTTTCTTAATGGAGTTTTTGATGTGGAAAGACCTACCTTGATGTGGACCACGTCATTCGTGGACTGGGCCCTGGAGCGAACGACAGGGAGTGAGCCGAGTGCCCTCTCTGCTTTGAGCATGGAGACGATGTGGGTAGTTGCCTTTGCTTTCCTCCTATAACAGATGTAATCTGGACCTGTCAGCAAAAAATAAACCCTTTCTCCCCTAATTTGCTTTTTTGTCGGGGTTTTTTATCACAGGGTAAGAAATAAAACCAGGATAGCAGTTAATTTTTTAAAATCATTCAACAACAAAAAGTCTCCCCAGAGTTTCAGCATTCAACTCTGTAGACACTGATATTTCCTTCTGGATATTGACATCACAGGTTAAAGCCTTGTCCCAGCCCTGAGACATTAGGGCAGCTTTGGGATCCCACAGTGGCTCCTCTCTGCTCTGCGTTATCACAGCACACTTCCATGAGCCGCTCTCCTGGATGGACAGAACGGTGGCCACCTAGGAAGAAAAGCCTCCCTCTACCATCTGCACATCCACAGATCAGCAACAGTCGTGCCTTCAAAGCCTCAGGTGAGTCGTTCCGCAGTTCCGGGGTGAGCATGCTCTGTGGGTATGCAGTCAGAAAAGAAGGGTTACAATTGTCTTTATACTCTGTGTGAGCCGCCTGCTTCTTCCAGCAAGCTCTACAGAAATTCACTGTAGTGAGACTGAGGCAAAGTCCCCTCAGAAGCAGTGTTAAACCATGGAAGCTGCACAAACATTTACAGAAGGCTCACCATGTGCCAAGCTCTTCTTCTAAGAGATTTACTTATCAACTAATTTAATCCTCACAACTCAGAGATTCACTCTTATTCCTTTATTCATTAATCAAATGTTTGTGGAGTCCCTCATGGGTGCCAGGCACGGTAATAAGTGCTCAAGGCACACTAGAGAGAAGAAGACAAACCCCTTGCCCTCCTGGAGTCTATGCTGCAGGGGGTGCAGAGCACACAACAGCAAAATCTCCTGTGGTGGGAGATATTAAAGGCTGGTGCGAAAACCAAGCAGATGAGTATAAATCAGGCGAGCAGAACCCAGTAAAGTAACAGTGAATTTGAAATGATGGGGTAGGGGGTAGACCACCCAGAGAGTAGGAATTACCAGGCTACAGGGGAAGACTGTTTTAGTTAGGTTTTTGTTGCTGAGAAGAGACACCACGACCATGGCAGCTCTTATAAAGGAAAACATTTCATTGGGGCTGGCTTACAGGTTCAGAGGTTTAGTTCATTATTGTCACAGCAGGAAGAGCAGTGGTATGCAAACAGGCAGACATAGTGTTGGAGGAGCTGAGAGTTCTGCATCTGGATCTGCAGGCAGCAGGAAGAGAGAGAGTGCCTCTGGGCCTGACTTGAGCTTGTGAAACCCCAAAGACCACCCCCAATGACAGACTTTCTTCAACAAGGCCACACCTACTCCAACAAGGAAATGCCTCCTAATCCTTGTCACATAACACCACTCCCTGAGGACCACGTAGTCAAACATATGAGCCAATGGAGGCCATTCCTACTCAAACCACCACAAAGACTGAGCTCAGAGAATCTGAGAAGTTGACAGCAAGCACTCAGCCAGTCAGGGGCACAGCTGATGTGCAGGTTCCGACAGTAGCTTTGAAGCTAAGTGTCACCTTTGTTGGGGTCACCCCTGTCTTGCCTTGTCATTTTACCGTCAGTCCAAGTTCATGACTTCTCTCTGATGGCCAAAGGCAAAGATCTGCCTGTTTCCTGCTATAACTTCACAGCTCCCCTGCCTCCACTGGTTTCAGACTGGAACTGTAGCCACCTGTTCTCCCAAAAAAAACAACAAGCCCCTTTCATCCCAAGACTTCCTGAAAACTTGCCACGCATATACCTTTGGCAGCCAATCTATTTCTTGAATGGCTCATGCAGAACTGAGCTGCCAAACCAGCATCCTTTTGTGCTCTCTTTTTCTAAAAGTTCTTATAAGTGTGTGTGTGTGTGTGTGTGTGTGTGTGTGTGTGTGTGTGTGTGTGTGTGTGTGTGCAGGTGCCTGAAGAGGCAGGAAAGCATCATATCTTCTGGAGCTGGAGTTCCAGATGTTTGTGAGTCACCCAATGTGGATGCTGGGAACCAAACTCCTGTCCTTTGCAAGAGCAGTTAATACGCTTAACCCCAAACTACTGCTCCTGCCCATTTCTGTGCTTTCTCTGACTTCTATCCAGCTGAAATTTTTCCTTTTGTTTCTTTTCTTTCTCCGCCCCCCCAGAAAGGTTTTTATTTTGTTTTTTCCTGTGTATCCCTGACTGTCCTGGAATAATGAGCTCTTTAGAACAGGCTGACTTTGAACTCAGAGATCTACCTGCCTTTGCTTCCCAAGTACTAGGATTAAAGGTGTGCCCTAACACTGCCCCAACCTTTTATTTCTTATCCTTGGTACTTAAAGTCTCTCTCATTCTTTGTAATGTTCCCCTTTAAATCTGCATAGTCCAATGCAGCAGCCACTAGCCACTCACTGCTAGGACAAACTGGAATATGGTGTGCATGTATAGCATACTTCCATCTGAAGGCTTAATATGAAAGAGCAGAATAGGAAATCTCTCATTAAGGTTTTCTTATCACGAAATGTTGAAAGTGTTGTAGACCTAGGTTAAATAAAATGCATCATTAATATTAATTTACCTGTTCCCTGTCCTATCTGTATTTGATGACTCTATTCCAGCCTGTGTTTCCAAGACACTGAATCCAATCATGCGTGAAGGTCACATCCTCTTCTGACTGTTCCTGTGTTGGGTGGGACAGAGCAGAGAGCTACAGCCTGACTTAGGGGATCCGACTCTTACATGGCTATTTAAAACTCCACGAGACTTTTCAAATCTATCCTCCAAAGTCTGACTCACATAGTTTCAAAACGTTATTGATCATTTTATTAAAACTCCTATAAAATCCCTGCTATTTTCCAGACACTGGTTCCCTCACTGGGTAACTTCACTGCAACTCATTTATGATGCACAGCACCATTACCTTCTTATTACTCTGAATGCTTTATTAGTTTCTGATTTATTTGTGGGACTTTTTCTTTCTTCTTGTTTTTAGTTATTGTATAGAGTCAATGTACCCAAAGCTACAGACCAGCTAGTCAGCGCAGTAGAAACTCAAGCATATATTAGAGAACCTACAGCCATATGGGAGAACAGTATGTGTTTTTTTGTTTGTTTGTTTTTGCAGTGCTAGGGATTGAGTCCAAGGCCTTGAGCATGGCAGGCAAGTGCTCTTCCATTGAGCGACATCCTCAGCCCTTTTGACGAAAATAAAGCAAAAAATCAGTAGGATCAAGATGACTCCAATCCCGGAGAACCAACTTGTGTGGATCCCTGTGATGGACTCGGATAGAGAATATAATTTAATATGGTGGTCCCACTTCGGGGCAGGGAACAGACATGCAGTCACTTCAGTGACCTGGGCAAGAGGTTTTTTCAGTGGCCCTGGTTTCAGTTTGATCCAAGGAGCCAACGACTAGGAAATCATCATCAGCACAGGCTCAAGGAAGAGGTGAGAAAGGAAGACGCAAGGCAGCCAGGGGAGGGAACGAAGGCACAAGGAGGTCAAAGAAGATGGCCTGGGCCTAAAGAGGGTGCCCAGCGTGCTCCTCTCAAGCTAGCAGCAGAGGTTGGGTGACCTCACCCGAGAGCGCCTCGGCTCTTTCCTGAGGTTTCCTGGTCACATGTGAGATTCAAATGGCTGTGTCTCACAGGCCTGAGGTGGAAGGTGGGATTTGTGACTACAGAACATGAGAGGCTCCCTCAAGTACAAGTTTCTGGTCACCCCACAGAATGAGCCACGGACAGACTCCTATACCTGAGCAGAAACTACCTGAGAAGAAGCAAGGGAGAGAAAACGTACAGAATTGTTTATCTAGTTCTAACTCTGCCGGGGACTTTTTGTTTTGGTAGTAGATAGGTTCATAAAATATATTTGATATTGAAACTGAAAGATGGAGCCAGGTGGTGGTGGTGCACGCCTTTAATCCCAGCACTCTGGAGGCAGAGGCAGATGGATCTCGGTGAGTTTGAGGTCATCCTGGTCTACAGAGTGAGTTCAGGACAGCCAAAGATACACAGAGAAACCCTGTCAAAACAACAACAACAAAGTGAGAGACCTACTGGGAAATTCCACAGCTCCCACTCCGAGTGCTAATTCTGACTGTGCATCCGTTCACTACGTTGAACAGTGTTTGAATCTGCTTAATTTTGGTGTGTGATGCTTTTATTTATTCCCAAGGTTTCTTTTCTAATAAAGAAGAAAAAGAGGAAGAAGGAAAAGAAAGTAGGTCTGGGAATTTGCTTTGTCACCTTCCTTATGGCCAGTATACGTGTGTGTGTGTGTGTGTGTGTGTGTGTGTGTGTGTGTGTGTGTGTGTGTGTGTCTAGTAAGTCCAGGTAGGTATTGATTTCTCTGCTCCAAAGCAGGACGTCTGTCTGCATAAACTGTCCTGCTTTGACCATTCTCTCTCTGCCTTTGAGTATCACGTGTGACCGTGTGAAGCATTGAGTTGACTAGGGTTGCTTACATCACCATGGGTGACTGACTACTCCAGAGAGCTGCCTCCCTGAGAGTTTGCTCAGTTTTGGAGGCGAGAGCCCCGGCCCCTGCCCTCCAACCTTCTGCAGTTGTGTGAATTCTGTAACTTTCCCAACTTCCTTTCCTCCTTCCTCTTCCCAGGAAGGAAGTTTCAGCTCAGAGGAAATAGCTACATAACACTCCTGCCCTTCCTCTGACTCATACATTCTCTCCGCCCTTTTTCCACAGTATTTCGTAAGGCTTGGAGAGGGTAATACAGACGTCTGATTATCTCTTAGCCATGAGTCTCTGTGGTAGCTGTATAGGAGCAGATTCCCTGCCCAAGCAAAGGAAGCCTCCAGCATCTGTAATCTATGGGTATAAACAAACTATCAGAGGAGAAACTGACAGGCACATCATATCCTTTTAACAAAACAGCAGCAATGGTTTCCCTGATGGGGCCTACGACCTCACTAGCCACGGCTTCTGCCTTGTTTTATCATACCAGACATGAGTTCCCTCCTGTGAAGCGGGCCTTAAATCGGACCAGAAAGCTACTGCTGCATTTCTAATGATCACATGATATCTCGCCATGCAGGCACGTCTTTCAGGGCGTGTTGGTAGCACAGCAACCAGAGTCCATAGCCGAGTAGGACTGTTGGTGACAACCCTCCTCAGCAGCACAACTAGCACCTTTTCTGACTACAGATGCCATCACTCATCAGGGAGGGAGCCATCAGCTGAGTCCCGGCTTCATTTCCTGCAACTGAAGCATGCAATGTCTTCAGTGGTTGCTCTAGCATAAAAGCAATAACTGTGGCAATAACTTTCATGGTTTATGGGACTTCAGGGGGCCTCCATAGCTAAAACTTGTAGGGAGGTTAACTCGCCCTTGACATTGTGATTTTTGCCTAAATGTATGGGTTTTGAGACTGCCTCTTCCTACCCATGGAGGATGCCTTTGTTCAAACACTGTTTTTTTTCAGATACTTCCAAATCTGCACTGCACTCAAGTGTTAATGTTATATAATGGAACACTTTCGTGGAGCATGGGCAGGATCATGGAAGGTCACCGATCTGCCAAAGCATCTCCTGTTGGTCTGGCATGGCTAAAGAAATACTAAAAAGGAAGTGTTAGCAAGGCCCCATCACTTCTGCCAAGTGTTTCATCACAAGAACAGTGGATGAAAGGCATTGCAGCCATCTAGCCTTCTGAATTTTGTCTTTTCCCATGATTCATCCTGCTTCCTATGCCCAGTACCATTGCCCTTATAGGGCTACTATGCCATTGCTCTTGTAGGACTATTACGCCTCTCTTCAGCACTACTGGTCTTGGTAGGAATGGCTTATGTTGCTTAGCCTGTGCCTGCCACTGGTGCTGAACCTGGATCTGACAGACTCCAGGCCAACACTGTGGCTCTTGCCTTTCCTCTGGCCACACCTGGCTGGTGAATGTGTCCTGATCTGGGTGAGCAATCTCCCCTCTCAGCCCCCTGTACACTTAACTTTGGGGGAAGAAATGTCTCCCTCATGCTATCAGAGGTCCCCTGTCCACTCCTCGGCAAGCTACAGGTGACTCCACTAGAGCAGCCCCTCCCTCCCAGCAAGCACTTTCTGCTTTTATAATCTTGGGGAAGGGCCTTAAAAATCCTGTGACTTCCTGCACACCATAAGCCTTCTAAATTGTGATAGTTCATTGAGTCTTGCGACTGCTCCCCTCACATCCAGGAATGCAGAGGGAAAAGCTACGCACAGGTAGGCTCAACATACTATGGCATTTACATACTGTGTGAACTTGGGATGAGGTACTTAACCTGCCTGAGCCTGTTCTCTTTACTCAAGGAAACTGGTGTTATACCCAAGGGCAATGGCAAGCACGTACAGCCTCAGCTACTTGGGAGCCTAAGACAGAAGGATTGATTAAGATCACAAGTTCAAAGCCAGCCTGGACAACATGGTCAGACTTTAGGGAAAAGGGTGGGGGAGGGAAGGAAGGAAAGAAATGAAAAGGGGGGAGGGTACTGGAGAGATGGATCAGTGTTTAAGAGCATTGCTCTTCCTCCAGAGGACCCAGGTTCAGTTCCCAGGACCCACATGACAGTTCACAACCCTTTGTAACTCCAGTTACAGGGAATCTGATACCCTCCTCTGACCTCCATGGACACCAGCCATTGCTTATATCCACTTGAGTAAAGGATAATACACATTTTTATAAGACATTTCAAATAAGATTTAGCACATTTTAAAAGTAAAAAGGGTAAACTACATGTAGGTGAAACACCTGTACACACAAAACAAATTCTAAAAAGTTGTCTGTACAAAGCATACAATAATATTATGTTGTTACAAGCCTTACTTATTTACCCACCCCGCTATAACAGTTTAGATTTGACTTTACTATTTCTCAAGGAAAATGTAAGACCATCTGAATGTGACTGTAGCAAATTGTGCAGACATGTCGTGTGAGAATGTGAGCTCACCACAGATGGAGAGACAACTGACAAACTTTATCCTCTAATGCTCCCACGAACACTCTGTAGTGTGAAAGGAAAAACATAGCCAGTCAGTGAGATGGAACTTTGGAGAGAGGAATTAGTGCCTGAGTACCAGGAACAGTTTCTAAACGGAAAACACAAGACTCAACCACAACCACAGCAGGACGAGCAGGTCTGCAAAAGGTGGTGGGCAGCAGTAGATAAGGCTGCTGGGTCAAGGGCAGGTTAACTTTTGTTCTTGCTTTGGGCAGTTATTTTTTTGCTTATAAAACATTTCAAAGAATAATATTTTAAAAGTAAAAACATAGAATACCCATGCAACAGATTCGTATGTTGCATTAGGTATCATCTGGACTCCCTATTTTTATTTATTGTTTAATGAATTTTTTATGTGCACTAGAGTTTTGCCTCCATGAGTATGTGTGTAAGGGTATCACATCCCCTGGACCTGGAGTTACAGACAGTTGTGAGCTGCCATGTGGGTGCTGGGAATTGAACCCATTCCCTCTGGAAGAGCAGCTAGTGCTCTTAACCACTGAGCCATCTCTCCAGACCCCTGATTATATTTTTAAAAAATTAAAATAGTCACATTATTAACCCATCCGTTTCCTCTCGCTGGCCCCTCCCATGTCCTTTCCTCGGGTCCTCTCAAATCTGTGACCCCTTCATTATTTATGTGTATTATATATTCACATATGCACATATATGCATGCATAAATATAGAACTCCAACCTCTGAATGTTTACTGTTGCTTGTATGTGCCTGATTTCAGGGCTGACCACATGGTATTGGATAACCAATTAGGGACTCATTTATGGGAAAGACTAATTCTCCCTCAGCGGCTGTTAGTTGCCTATAGTTCCTTGTCTGGGGTGGGGCCCTTTCCACGTTAGGTTAGCGTGTTGACTGGAGCTGTCATTAGGTTAGCGTGTTGACTGGTGCTGTCATTAGGTTAGTGTGTTGACTGGAGCTGTCATTAGCGTGTTGACTGGTGCTGTCATTAGGTTGGTATGTTTACTGGTGTCATTAGGTTAGCGTGTTGACTGGTGCTGTCATTAGGTTAGTGTGTTTACTGGTGCTGTCATTAGGTTAGCGTGTTTACTGGTGTCATTAGGTTAGTGTGTTTACTGATGTCATTAGGTTAGTGTGTTTACTGGTGTTGTCATTAGTGTGTTTACTGGTGCTGTCATTAGGTTGGTGTGTTTACTGGTGTCATTAGGTTAGCATGTTGACTGGTGCTGTCATTAGGTTAGTGTGTTTACTGGTGCTGTCATTAGGTTAGCGTGTTGACTGGTGCTGTCATTAGGTTGGTGTGTTTACTGGTGTCATTAGGTTGGTGTGTTTACTGGTGTCATTAGGTTAGTGTGTTGACTGGTGCTGTCATTAGGTTAGTGTGTTTACTGGTGCTGTCATTAGGTTAGCGTGTTGACTGGTGCTGTCATTAGGTTGGTGTGTTTACTGGTGCTGTCATTAGGTTGGTGTGTTTACTGGTGTCATTAGGTTAGCGTGTTGACTGGTGCTGTCATTAGGTTAGTGTGTTTACTGGTGCTGTCATTAGGTTAGCGTGTTGACTGGTGCTGTCATTAGGTTGGTGTGTTTACTGGTGTCATTAGGTTAGCGTGTTGACTGGTGCTGTCATTGCTTGGGTCTTGCTTCGGCAACCATATGGTTGCAGTATCCTGAGAATAGCTTCTCTGTCATTTGTGGGAACACCAGACCTTGAGCAGAGACCCACTTCCCCTTCTGCCTGGGAGTAGGCAGCTGTAAGACAATGTTTACTAAAAACATGTTTACTAAAAACAATACAATGCCTGGGGGCATTAAGTTCCTGGAAAAGGCCTGCCCACAGAAACCACCCTGACCTCAACCTTGTCCAAAGACTAACCACCTCTTCTGCCACGCCCAGATCAGAGCAGAACCAGCCAGGGGAGAAGAGAGAGCAGAAGCTTCTCTGGTGGGAGCCTTTCTTGGGAAGTTTTCTTGAACCTTTTGGAGCCTGCTTAAAGTTTTCTTTACATCGTTGAACAAGTCTCTGTGTTGTCAATCCCCGACACCCTCCACACGTTCTCGGACACAGGCCGCGCAGCAGACTCGACAATTGGAGGTCCTACCGAGATCGTGAAAGCGAGGTAAGTGGACGGGGTTAAGAAACTATGGGGAATAGTTTCGGGAAGCTAGAATCATTGCAGTATCAACTAAAAAAGTTACTTAAAGAACATGGGACTGCAGTCAAGTCTAAAACCCTAGAAGGCTTTCTAAAATCGATCGAAC